TTTTGTCACTCCTTCTTCTGACCCTAAAGAGGCTGAATGCTTCTATTGCCATGAAAAGTCACATTGGAAGCGGAACTGCCCAAAGTACCAGCAAGATGTGAAGGATGGGAAAGTTAAACCCAACCATGCAGGTATTTACACTATCTTATCTAATAACTCACCCCATTCTAACTCTTGGGTCCTTGATACCGGTTGTGGTATTCATATCTGTTCTGATTTGCAGGGACTAAGAAGAAGTGAGAATGTGGAGCATGGAAGAATAAACTTAATCATGGGGAATAGGAAAGCTTTACCTGTCACCAAGATTGGAGTTTATACTTTATCGCTAAGTAGTGGGTTTAGTTTAGATTTGAATAAATGTTGTTATTCGCCAGAAATGGCAAGAAATATTATTTCCTTTCATGCATTGTATAAACAAGGTTTCACCTTTTCATTTGATAATGAAGTTGGTTCGATTAATGCTTTCTTTAATAATGTTCTTTATTTTAAAGCATTACCTTGTGATGGTGTGTATGAAACTGTATCTGTGGTTGATAACTTAGGAAATAATGTATTGTGTATTGATTCTGTTAATGATAATAACTTGGATAAAGCATCATTATGGCATTGTCGTCTTGGACATATAAGCAAGAAACGCATAGGCCAACTCCAAAAGGATGGAGTATTGGAGTCATTTGACCTAAAGTCAGATGATAGTTGCGAATCATGCTTACTTGGAAAAATGACAAAGTCACCCTTCACAGGTTCTTGTGAGAGGGGTGAAGGTTTGTTGGATCTTATACACACGGATGTGTGTGGGCCCTTCAAACATGCCACAAGGGATGCTAATCGTTATTATTTGACTTTTACTGATGATTACAGTAGATATGGATATGTCTACTTAATCAAGCATAAGTCAGAGACTTTTGAGAGGTTTAAAGAGTTTAAACAGGAAGTCGAGAATCAATTGGGCAGGAACATTAAGATGCTTCGATCCGATCGAGGTGGTGAGTATCTTAGTTCAGAGTTCCTCGACTATCTTAGGGAATGTGGGATTGTCTCACAATTGACACCTCCCAGGACACCGCAGTTGAATGGTGTAGCTGAGAGGCGTAATCGAACCTTGTTGGATATGGTTCGTTCCATGATGAGTCGAGCTTCGCTACCAATCTCATTTTGGGGGTATGCCTTAGAGACTGCCGCCCATATCCTTAATCTAGTTCCCACAAAGAAAGTTGCCAAAACTCCTCATGAGATGTGGACTGGTAAAGTACCCAAACTAGACCACATTAAGATTTGGGGTTGCGAGGCTTTCGTGAGACGCGAGACTCATGATAAGCTCGAACCTCGAAGTGAGAGGTGTATTTTCATCGGCTACCCACAGAAATCCTTTGGTTACCTCTTCTACAGACCTAGTGAGAATGTGGTCTTTGTAGCTAGGAGGGCTTTCTTTCGAGAGAGAGAGTTCATAAGCCAAGGAGACAGTGGGAGGCAAGTTGACCTTGAAGAAATTCAAGAGTCAAGTGGTGAAGGAACTTCAAACCCTAGCACTCAACTTGAGGAGGAAACTTCTGTTGAGCCAATTGACAAGTCTGTACCTCTGAGGCGTTCCACAAGGGTTAGGAATGCACCTGAGCATTACTATGGATTCCATATTACTGCGGAAGGTGATACACTTATCAGTGATGAGACACTGATAGGTCTGGATGAACCTAACAGTTACGCGGAAGCCATGGCAGGCCCTGAGTCAGCCAAGTGGAAAGAGGCAATGGACAGCGAGATACAGTCCATGTATGACAATCAAGTTTGGAACTTGGTTGAGAATGTACCAGGTCGTAAGACTGTAGGGTGCAAATGGATCTTCAAGAAGAAGACCGACATGGATGGTAATGTACACACTTATAAGGCACGACTGGTTGCAAAGGGTTTCTCACAAACTCCGGGAGTTGATTATGATGAGACCTTTTCTCCAGTGGCCAAGATTAAGTCTATTAGGGTTCTGTTAGCCATAGCCGCATTTCATGACTATGAAATATGGCAAATGGATGTCAAAACCGCTTTCCTTAATGGAAAGTTGGCTGAGGATGTTTACATGAGTCAGCCAGAGGGTTTTGTCAACACAGAGTACCCTAATAGAGTGTGTAAGCTTGAGAAATCCATTTATGGGTTAAAGCAAGCACCTCGCAGATGGAATCTTTGCTTTGATGAGAAAGTCAAAGAATTTGGCTTTTCTAGGAGTGAAGATGAATCTTGTGTATATGTCAAGGCTAGTGGGAGTATAGTTAGCTTTTTGGTATTGTATGTGGATGACATACTACTCATAGGAAATGACATCCCAACTCTGCAGGAAGTTAAGTCCTGGCTTGGGAAGTGTTTCTCTATGAAGGACCTAGGAGAAGCTGCCTATATTCTAGGGATAAGGATCTTGAGAGACCGGAGTAAAAGACTAATTGGACTTAGTCAGAGTACTTACTTGGATAAGGTGTTGAAGAGATTCGGCATGCAGGACTCCAAGAAAGGAGAGTTACCCATCCAGAGTAATGCCAGATTGAGTAAGACACAAAGCCCTAGTACTGAGGCTGAGATAGCAGAAATGAGTCGAATACCTTATGCTTCGGCTGTAGGATCGATCATGTATGCTATGACGTGTACTCGACCTGATGTAGCCTTTGCTTTGAGCATGGTTAGCAGGTATCAGGGGAACCCTGGCAAGGCACACTGGACTGCGGTAAAGAATATCCTCAAGTACCTACGGAGGACTAAGGACTGGGTCCTTACCCTCGGTGGGAGTGAAGACTTGAGAGTTGTAGGGTATAGTGATGCTAGCTTTCAGACTGATAGGGATAATTTCCGCTCTCAGTCAGGCTGGGTCTTTACCTTAAATGGAGGAGCAATTTCTTGGAAGAGTTCCAAGCAAGAGACAGTGGCTGATTCAACTTGCGAATCAGAGTATATAGCAGCTAGCGAGGCAGCAAAGGAGGCGATATGGCTGAAGAACTTCATTGGAGACCTTGGAGTTGTACCAGCTATTAAAGAGCCAATGGAAATTTTCTGTGATAGTGCAGTTGCCTTAGTCAAGGAACCAAGGGATCACGGGAGATCCAGACACATCGACAGAAAATACCATTTCATCAGACATCGAATAGAAGAAGGACTCCTCGTGGCAAAGAGGGTATCATCGGATGAGAATCCAGCAGATCCCCTCACGAAGGGACTGACTCGGGTTAAGCATCTCCAGCATGCTCGGAGCATAGGGCTGAAGGATGATATTAGATTTAGTAGTTAGATAACCTTGAAATTTGTAAAGTGTAATTGACATTAGATGATGAATAAAAGGTGTTTTATTTATGAGTAAAGTGTTGCTATCTCTTGTCGATCGTTTACTATATTTCTTTTGCATGTTTTGACTTCCAGAATAATTATGTTTGGTATATCATATTATTCGAACCTCCACAGTCGGTCATATGTCGGAAGTAGGTATGAATCAAGACTGTCATGATTGGTTGCAGAGGTCTAAGTTGTTGGACATGGCTACAACACTCATGAGTGCTCATAAGTTCTGAGCATTGGACTCAACCCACGCTCACTGGAATCACTTCATGGAATTTATCTCGAGTGATCGTGAGACGGTAATATCATATAAGTCTTCAAACCTAGATATATGATTTGTTACTTATGAGTTGGTTATGCATTGATTGTACGAAAACGCATTGGTAACTCGATGTTATAAAACGTGCTCTTGTGTATAATTCAATGAGTAGTAGAACAAACATATGAGTCGAAGTTTATCTGTTCCTTCTTGGATTAGAAGCTGATATATGGGCCCCTCGATGATTTTGTTTTGACCTATGTACCGGGCCCGGTCAGAACTAAGTTGATGTGTTCAATTGAGTTCTTGTCAAACAAATCGGAAATCGGGAAACAAACTGCTGGACACAAAGTAAGACATGTTCCATGTATTTGTCCGGCTGATATCTAGAACAGAGGATTATATGATCACTTATCTTAAATGGCGTATCATCATCTTCTCAGTTCCGAGAAACCTTGAAAAGAGCTACGATTGCTGATCGGTTCCTGAAGTCATACTTGCAGTTATAGTTATTAGACTTATCCAAGTGGGAGACTGTTGGATAAGGTGTCTAAGTCCATAACTATTTTTGGTATGTACTTGACCCGACCCGGCATGGTCCATTTGGGTTGCATGGCACCATGCATTGGATAACTAAATGAGAGAAATAACACTTGTGGTTTATTAATATATTATAAGTTCTAATATATTAATAATATTATTTAATTAGTTTGATCAAGAATTAATTTAGAATTAATTAAGTGATCAAAAGATAACTAATTAAATATATGGGTAGATTATGTAAATCTTCCATATCTTATATAGTGGGCTAAGAGGCTCCATGGATTATCAAGTTGGGTTCCACCCATAGGATGCTCCATGGATGCTCCATGGGAGTTACAAACCCATGGGTCATAGAAATGAAGAGTCATGACACATTAGGGTTTACATGGTGTAACCCTAGGTGTGTCAACACTATATAAGAAACCCATTCTCCACCAAAATAGGCCACACATAAGAAATAAGAGGGCTAGAGCCGATTTTGCAAGTGTAAGATTCTATCAAAGTTTACTCCTTTGCATTTGGTGTTGTGTGAAGCATTTGAGTCATCACACTTGGGGTGCTAGGCTCACAAGGTTTCAAGGATCATAATCAACAACAAGATAAGTTATTCTATCTTTCATTCAAGTTAAAAATGTTCCCCATGTATGCTAGATAGGAATATAACCTTGGAATTCAACTTTGCATGATTATTAGACAAACATAGATCCAAGGTTATTAGGGTTGCATGTACACTTAGGAAGTGTTAGAATGCTCAAAACCCATTAACCCATTAGATAGAATCAGTAACTTGCCTGAACACTTGATCCACTCAATCTTAGAGCAGGTCCCGCTTGAAGAGGCTGTAAGGACAAGCATTATATCAAAAAAATGGAGGTACAAACGGACCAAAATGACAGCACTTGTTTTTGATGAGCAGTTCTCTAAAAAGTTTGCAAAAAATGGAGCTTTTGGTCATAATGGGTTTATAAGGATCATAAACAAAGTCTTGTTCTTTCACAAGAGTCCTACCTTGAAATTTCATATCCATATACCAAATATGTTTCTTGATAGCTTTGAAGAAGTTGATCATTTGGGTGCTATTCTTATCAAGAAATGGTGTCAATGACCTCCTCCTTAACAATGCGAATCGACGCTATGAACTTCCTTCTTATTTGTTTTATTGTCTAGAATTGACAAAGTTAGAACTACACAAGTGTTGCTTTAAGCCACCACTTGAGTTTGAAGGATTTCTCAATCTTGAAGAACTCCGTCTGGAGGATATTGATTTTGGGGCAAGCTTGTATGGAACTAAGGTCAACCTACCACGGCTTAAGAAGTTGTGCCTCGTTAAATGCACAAATGTCTACAATTTCAACATTAAGGCTACAAAACTGCAACAATTGATTGTCCATGCTTGTCCTGATGCCATGTTGCTCCGGTTATTGGATATTCCGTGCCTTTTTTTGGTTTCTATTGCTTTTGAGAAACCCGTACAAGATTTTGTAGGAGTTGAAAAAATGAATTTGGCCACAATGTTGAGTAACTTGTCCAAAGTTGAATACTTTTATATCAACAGTCTTTTTCTTAAGGTATGATATAATGGAAAACCTTTTATGCTTAACCTTCGCTCCTCCTTAACTGGAGTTTATTGGGTATGTTAAAGAGAAATGGCACAAAAAGCACCCGGGGTACTAGGTTTGCCATATTGGGTTAGAAAACGCGATCTCAAAATCGTCAAAAAATCGAAAAACACAAAACAAAAATGAAAATGCAGTGTCAAAATTTAAAAACGTGAAAACATAGTGTCTTTTGTGCCATTGAATAAAATTGGAAAACGTGATGTTCGATTTAAAACAAAAAACAATGCACTTTCAAAATCAAAATAAAGAAAGTGAAAACAGAGTTTCTTTTGTGCTATTTTCCCTAAGTTAAAATCTTACTTTCATCTCACAGTTTTTGATTGCAGAAAAGATTCCAAAATTGCTTCCAGGTGCGATTAGTAGTTTAAAGCATCTGTGGTTGCTGGATATTCAACTTGGTGATTTGAATCAACTTCATGTTGTTATTTGTTTTCTTCGAAACTCACCTAATCTAGAAAACCTATTTGTTAGGCACTTTGATATGGTAAAGTGAAAAGTGTTAAAAGTATATATAATACAAGAGTTTGGAGCTAAACTGTGGTTGCATTTTTATGTTGTTTTAGGAGCCCCGAGTAGATGTGGGACCAGCTTCAGATCATTTAGAATCCCCAAACTGCTTGGACTCTACATTGGATCAGTTGAAAATTGTTAAGATGACATGTTTAAAAGGATCAAAACCGGAACTGCTTTTTATAAACCTTCTTCTTGCTCATTCCCCTTCTCTCCAGAAGTTTACCATTAAACCAAGTAGAGCTTCTGATGTTCAGAAAAGATATGACATTGCTAAAGAGGTTATGCAGTTCCCTCGAGCATCAGCAAAAGAAGAAATGTTTTGCTTGGATCCGGAACCATAATCATGTAAGAATCTTCTCTCCTTTAAAGTTTAAACACCCTCTTATTTATCCTATTTGCTTTTCTACCCTTACTTGCACAAAGTGCCTTGGTCCAGTTGAGTTGTCATAGCTTGAAGTCCTCGGTTTTTCATATTTTTATGTTTAAGTCCTTGAAATAAAACAAACACAAATTACAGTCCAACAAAGTTTGTTGCTTCATATTGTGTTTAAGCATAAGATTAAATAAAAAAAGGACCACTATATTGAAAGTTATAGTAAGGAACACGAGCTCCATCGACTAAAAAACCTCCTACTAAAAATTCCTACTAATTGTTACTTGAATTTTTATTCCTTATGGTGCGTTTTAATATACTTGTAAATAGTTGTGTGCATGAAGAAGAAACTGATGATCTAGGATTTCTGTTATGCAGATCTGCAGTGACCATAGAAAATAACCACTATTTTGAAGAACAAAATGAAGCTGAAGCTGTGTTTGTGTATGTGTGTCAAATTACATGTGTTGAAACAGAAATAGTAAAGTTTACTGCTGTTTAAAGTATTGCGTATAATAGTACTGGAAAGTCGTTATTTTGACGAGAAGTTTCGTTAATCCTCATGTTAAGTAGCATATGCTCTAAGGACTTTTTAATGGAAGTAATTTGTATGTTACTGAATATGGAATGTTAGGGGATTACTATTCCTATTAGTTAATATTGAAGACAATCATCATTACTGTTAAAATCATAAAATCATAGTTGAAAGATTCTTGTCAAACATTGATCACCATTCTTTGCTCTTATTAAACACCAACACTTGTGTTGGGTTCACCTCCTCATGTCTCATCCTAATCTCCACCGTCAATGAGCGATGTAATAGTTTAGAAGATTTTCCAAGCAAAATGTTGTAATAAGGATGTTCTTCTCGACTTACCGGAGGTTAGGATTGTGGAAGAGTTCTTACCTTTTGAACTAGGAGGATCAGATGTCATATTGGGTGTAAAATGGTTGCAAACGCTTGGTGACATTACGGTAAATTGGTTGGAACTTTGAATGCAATACTGGGAAGGTGATCGGCTGGTCACAATCATTGGTGACCCAAGCTTATCAAAAACTATGGCCTCGTGTAAGACTCTTCACAAGTTAATACAACATGATGGGGAAGGATATTTTGTCCATGGTGCACACTCCTGTTGTGATTCATGGTCAGGTTATGAAGGTGTTGGAGGCTGTAACACCGCAAATTCCAAACAAAATTTTCATTTTAATATCATATAAATTTCATAAAACATTTCACAAAATCTCATTTGTTTAGTTTACAAGACACATCTCCATAATTGATTGATTAATAATCCAGGATCCTCAAAACATAACTCCTTCTCTGGTGTGTATATTCGAGCTGGTGCCTTCCAGCGATCCTGAGAAAATCCTGAAACACATGACACATAACACGGTAAGTACGAAGCTTAGTGAGTTCCCCAAAATACCACACACATCTCAGTAGCCTCTCATGCCTATACTCAGATAAGACCCTCCGGTCAATGTGTCTCAGTGGGACCCTCTGGTCCTTGAATTCAGGTGGACCCTCCGGTCCTAACTCAATAAGCTCATAATAACAATACTCAACATAAATCCCAGAGACATAATGCAGAATATCACAACACAAAAATAAGCACATAAGACATCTCAGTCACACAAGGATACCACTCACGGTAAGTACAATGAGAAGACTCACCTCGGATGAAGAACGGCTCCTATAAATGCTGTCGCTGCACACCGGCCTCTAACACTGTGCCAAACCCACAGTTAACCCAATTAGGATCTAAGACCATACCTTCACTCATCATGTTTAAAGATAGCCCACCAACTCGGTCCACAAATAACCCAAACCTATTGGGCCCAACGAGGCCCAATACTAAGTGGGCCCACCCAAGGCCCAACCCTTAACTCATGTCAAAAAGGCAAGGCCAACACATGGGCCCAGTAATGGCCCAATCTTCCCAATTGGACCCAACCTTAAATGGACCTAACCCCCAAGCCCAATAATCCTTTACTAAATCCCAGGAGGGTGAAAAGACCATTTTGCCCCTCAAAATTCACATTTGCTCGAAACCCTAAAAAGTCAACGGAAAGTCAAGACTTGCCACGTACGCTGGGCGTACGTCTCTATACGTTCGGCGTACGCGTAGCCATGCATGCAATGGGGGTGACTCGGTGCTACGTTGCGCGTAGCTGGGAGTACGCTCGGCGTACGTCCTAGACTTGCTTATCCCACTCAAGGGGTCTTAACCCATTAAGACAAAGGCTACCATCTCAGATCTCGGTCAAATGAAGTCTCTTATAACATAAAGTTGGTGACTTTAAGCTCTATCAACACTGAACAAGTCAAGATCTCATAAACTCTCACTTTTTCCACCATAAAATCCACATATCTCATAGATGAGGAGATCTTGACAACCAAGAATCCATTTTTATGAACTTATACCGTCTAAAGACATCAAAGAGGACAAGTATAAGGCTCTTGGGTTGACCAACTCAAAAAGCTTCAAGCTTTGGGGACACAAACCCTAAAATGGACCATTAAATGAACTATGCAAAATAAGAGCAAAGTTTTGAGCTTGATACCACTGAATGATGCTCCATCCTCAAGGAAACTCAGATCCAAGAGGTTGAATGATAACTCTTCTTCCTTCAAAGTTCATTCTTCTCAAAAGAATCTCACAAGATCACTTCATAAGCCTCCAATGCTCACACAAGCTAAGAAATGAGATTTAGGGTTTTGAGGGAAGTAAGATGCTGGAAATGGTGGCTGAATATGAAGGCATAATGTTCGTTAAATATGGATACTCCAAACATTAGGGTTTTCTTCCAGGACCTAGTACGCCCAGCGTACCCTCTAGTACGCCCAGTGTACTAGGTGGCCTTCGTGTCTCTTCCACGCATATGAGTACGTCGAGCGTATATGTAATTACGCCCCACGTACTCAACTGCCACACATCTCAAAAGAAGGACTAAACTTGCCAAAACTTCAAACTGCCGTAGCTCCTTCGTTACCAATCCATTTCCAACGAACTTTATATCCCCGGAAAGGTGATGAGAAGCCCTACGCTTCTAGCAACTCGTCACAACCCCGAGACTCCCTCATGCTCGGTTTGCAGCCCACGAACCCTAATCACGGACGATCTGAAACAGGATGTTACAATTCTCCCCTACTTGAATTAGATTTCGCCCTCGAAATCGCTCCTTATCAACACATAGATCGAACCGATAACCCGAAAAGCACCATCGAAAGGACCTCATATCATACAACAATCTCTTCCAAAGACACCTGATCCTAATAGGAACTCCCGACCCCGAAGAAGGACACTCTACCAACTTTGATTCTCCCCGCCAGACCACCCTCGCAAAATATCATGCTAATCTCTCAACGATTAGCAGACTCTAAGAACACTCTACCAACTCTGATTCTCTAATCGATCCCGGTCGAACTCAAAAGGAACGGAAAGGTCATAACCCACTAAGGACCCACTGCCTGAACAGCTATCAGGACCTTTCGGAAAGAATAAATCCCAAAAATCTAACCTCGAACACAAGAAAAGACCATGCTCACTTGGAAGTATCCTCTGACATTTATAGACATAAGCCCCGACTTCCTCTCAGATTTCCCCTTCAATACTGAGCACCAGGTCAGCTCCCGACCCAATAGATGAACCTCCCAGGTTACTCATTGCAAACCAAGACGTCTCACCGACTTCCTTCTCACGATAAGTATCTCGGCTCATCACGACACACAGGTCACGAAGTTCACTTTACCCCAAGCGAATGCTACAACTCATCTGAAATCGTCTCGCTTCCGACCTCTGTCATCTACCACCCAGTGGTTCCATGCGTCTCTCGAGTATTCTCATACCAACGAAACTGACCCACTCCGGTCTAAGAAATCAGATGAAGATCAATACCCCTCCAAATGAAACCCATCTATAAATTCGAAACCTCATCTCGCCTACACACGAAAGACTCCAGACTTAAGCTTGAGAGTCTGATTCAACAGCAGACTTGGAACCACTCAATTCCAATCTGGTACTCAACTCATGACCCAAGATTTGCGAATTTAAGCACACACCATCTCCCCAATTCCTTCCAATTACGATAATCCCTTCTCAACCCGGGATATGACAATTATCGACTGTCATGGAGACCCCGGTCTCGCCCCTGGTTCGACAATCAAGTTCCCGAAGACTCAAGTGGTAAGGCTACCCAAGCCTAAGAACTCCTCTGCGTCATACTCTGACTAGTGAATTACTACAGCCCCCGACGGGACAAAATTCACCCCTTATCGGCTACTGAGTGCTACGGTCTCCCCCGTAGTCTCGCGACACTCTCTCATTGAATCGAGAATGCTACCGCTCCCCGTAGTATCACAACACCCTCTCGCTGACTAGTGAATACCACGGCTTCCTGTAGTATCACGATACTCTTCTCTAATTCATGTATGTTGCGGCTCTCCGCAATCACGCGGTACCCTTTCTCTCACTAACTCGTGGATGCTACGGCTCACCGTAGTCTTACAACACTCTCTTACTCACTAACTCGCCATGCGCTAACTCCATGGTTTTTCCCCGATAATCCTACATGATTACTCCCACTCGGATCCACTCGCTCTCTAATCTCCTCATGATCTCATCATCAAATCATCACCCCACTGGGTTCACTAACTCATGCCCCACAACCCAACATAGATAGGTGCACATACCCACTCAGCTCGTACACCACCACTCCTAATGTAAATTCTCGTAAGCCAGACACTTATCTCAACACAGGTACACCCTTAGACAGTCTCGCTCTGGGGACAATTAACTGATGGGTTCCTACTGGAATAATAGTCACTCGATACTCCACTTCCAACTCAAATCTCAAAATAATCCAAAAATTTAGGGCGTCATTCTCAGATACCCCGGTACACCATCACAAAATCTCATGATGTCTTATCACGTACACTGATCTTCCACTCGCACAGCTCGGAAC